CTCGTTTTCGTGGTTTACAATCGAAGGAGAGAGAGCCATGTTAATATTCCAGGAGGACCTGATGATGATGTCAGGGAGAATATTATTAATTACGGTAATTATTTATTAAAATACTCAAAATATTAGTTCAAAATGTTAGAATAAAAATTTAGATTATGGAATAATCTAAATATTTTTCATACAACATAAATGTGTATATATAATTTTATTAACACAACTTTATTTTGAAGTTCGACGTCTCCAAAATTTGTATACCAAAAAATAATTTCTACTTTAAGCCCGATATTTCCAAAACCATAATCCAAAACCATTTACTATATTAAAATAAAAGATAGATTACACAATTACGTAAATATTTCCCATACAACATAAACATGTACAATTAATTTGTAATAAAAAATCATTTTTTAGATGACGAAGGTGGCGGCGAAGACGACATGACAGGCTTCGATATAACGCCTTTACAAATTCCTGTTGGAGGGCCTCATCCGGCCCTGGGAGCCCCTGGTTTGGTACCCCCTGCCGGAAAATGCAGCCCTGCATTATGACGCAACCTGCATTCAGAAGTAAGTAGGAAAAAAATAGTAGCATGGAATTATTTATTTTTTGGATTATTTATTTATGCATGAAATTTATTTTTCAACCTATTTCTTCATTATTTAAAATTTTATAAATATTGTTAGTAGTGCATATACTTATTAAATATCAAGATAGAAAATTCATTCTTATATTTTGCAAAAAAATTATTTAAAGCCAAAATAAGTGTATAAAATTTTTTATAACAGTCATGGAATTAACTAATGTCTTCTATTATTTTTTTATTGATTTTGCTTTTAGTATAGAATTTAAAAAAAACACACACAAAATGCTTTTAAATTTGCACCATTGTAAATTATTCTGGACACTTTTGCTTTGAATTGGATACATTAAATTGCATATTTCTTAGAAATTTATATTTTTAACAGTAATAAATTTTCTATCACCTATTTTAAAATGTTTGAGTAATTTTTCTGTTTGTATTATTATTTTTTTGTGCTTGTATTATTAACTTTTATTTTTTCCTTCTTCTTCAGTACTTAGTCGGAGTTGTCCTGAGTTCAATTCCTTTACAAAGGAGACAAAGTTTTAATGACAATTAAGTAAAAAATATTTTTTCATAAATATCAATACGATTTATATTATTTTTTGGGTTGAACTCTGGAGTCTCTGCAGATTGGACATTCTTGTAGTTATTTTGGCATGTTGGTGAAAGGTTTGATTTTGTATATTTTGTAGTAATAAATAGTTATTTTTGTAGTTGAATTAGTAGTATTTTTATTATTATTAGCATTGATTTCAGTTAGTTAAATTTGTTCAAAATATATATAACCGAAAGAGTAACAATGGTATTTTCTCGTTTCTTTCTCAATTTCTGCTTTAAATTTTTTAGAATTTAATTGTAAAAGTAGTAGACATTTATTATTAATGCTCTACAATTTACTAAAAACAATACATGGTCGATCAAAAAAGCCTGAAAAACAATTTGGTGCCAATATTTGGTTCAAGTAATTTAAACTCACAGTAAGTTTATATTATTTTATTTACTTCAATGCGATTGATAATTTATTTTCATCCATGTTTGTTAAAACTAGTCATTTATTTTATTATTAATTCATACTAATAATTTTTTCACAAAAACTGTTATCATCAATTCCATAGTATACATAGAACAATTAATATATATATATATATATATATATATATATACATATATATACTATATATATATATATATATTTATTATTTATATTGTAATATTTTTGCAGCCCAATCTATTTATGAATAAAAAAAGATTAAATAACAAAATTCATTCAGTAATCTAAACAACATATAACATAAATACATAGTTGATAAAAATATAAATATAAAAAAGGAGAAAATTATACATACCAAACCAGGAAAAACAACAGCAAAAATTAATTGTGATGTAAATTGATTGAACACTAAATTTGTGTAAAATAATAAATTACTATATATTAACAAACGAGAAATTGAAGGTGCACATTTTGCCCTCCTATATTTAATGTTATTAATAGCAGTGCATTATGGATACTGATCAAGGTTACAACGCCAGTGTAGTCACGGAATTCACGGAAAAGAGTAAGTAAGTGTTTTTTAGATGACTGAATGATGACACACATCAAGTGTCGAAACGTTGAATGGAATAAATAATTTTGTTATTTAATCTTTTTTAATTCGACCGGGTGGGCTGCAAAAAATATTACAAATATGTATCAACGTCGACAAAACTATCATCATATATATTATATATAATATATATAATATATATATATTTATTTATTTATTTATTTATTTATTTATTTATTTATTATTTTTATGTATTTTTTCATCTAGATCCAGTGCCGTTAAATCCAGGGGAACCTCAGTCAGTGGCGGCGTTTATTGGGGAGCATAAAAAGCGTTCGGATGCTGACCCGAATGCACCCCTTTCGACGACTTGAGGAACTACGCCTATGAAGGCGGCGGCTCCACCGCGGGCAGTCTTAGTTCGCTAGCATCAGGTAATAAATATAAATATATATATATATATATATATATATATATATAATTTTTTTTGGTTCAAAACCTTCTATAAATGCACTTGAATATATACAAAAAGTTTTATCCAAATTGGACAAGTCGTTTAAGAGCAGTTCGATGTCATACATACGTGCGACAGATTTTTATTAGGTTGTCAAATATCTCCCTTCCGCTTTTTTGCTCTTGGTTTATAATACAAGAAGGCGGAAGGGAGATATTTGACAACCTATTATGTTTTAATTTTATATAAGAGTTATATTTTGGCTAAATTTGGTCGTTTAACAATTTTATAAATATTAATTTTAAGAAAATTATATTTTATTAGTAATTTTAATTAATTTTGACCGGCATGAGTTAAAAAAAATTGTGGAAAGACAGTTGTTAATTTTTTTAAAAATTACTCATCCAGAATTTTATATTTTATTTTCTATCCTTTTCCAGGTACGGATGATGAGCAACAAGAATACGATTATCTAGGGGCCTGGGGCCCCCGATTTGATAAATTAGCCGACATGTACGGCCCCACTGGAAATGAACACGAACACGATGACGAACTGTAAAGAAAAAAAAATGACTAAAGAAAAAAAATTGGATGAAGACGAATTTAAAAATCTGGTACTTAAACTGTAAGTACATATATGTTTACATATCAAATAATTCGGTTTCGAACTTGTACTGGGATAAATAATTTGTTTGACGTCCTGACGAGTTCGAAATTATTTATTTGACGCGAATTTGTTCAAAGCAATCACCAAAAATACTCGAAAAATGTACCATTAGGATTTAAGTATTTTTTCATACAGAAATTGACCCATATTTTAACTTTTAAATTATTTATATAATATAAATAACGCATTTGGCGAAATTGTACAAAATTAAATTGTGTATAAAATTTTGTAACATCATAATGCCCTACAGCAACTCGGTATACTTTAAAATCGCGTTTAAAAATACAAAATCAAATCAAAGGTATTAAAAGTGCACTGGTCGTAACTTGATGAGCATTTAATCAGTAGATCTCTTGTATCATTCAAACAGTTTATCCGACGTAAATAGTATATCAGACAAATTTGTACTAAAAAAAAATTCTCTATAAAATTTTCTAAAATCCTAAAGACTTACAGCAACTCGGTATACTTCAAATCATTTTTAAACGCAAAATATTACAAATATGGACTGCTGAATCGCATTATATTATAACTATTGTATTTCCAAAGGATTTGTCCGATATAAATAATTTATCAGACAAATTTATACTAAATAAAATTATCTATAAAATTCTCTAACATCATAAAGCCCTACAGCAACTCAGTATACTTTAAAATCACGTTCAAAGAAAATTTATACAAAATTTTACAATAATGTCTCCACTTGATATTAAATTTATTTAGGCTAATATGGGTCATATTTAATTTTGAGTATGAAAAAAATATATCAATACAAAAACAAATAGGCATTATTTATCCTAAACTAAAGGCTTTTTGGGCCTTAATATATAAGTAGGACAAGTTTTTTTAAAAACAATTACTAAGTCATTATTAATTTTTAATAAAATTCGGATGGAGTGTGATATATTATTACACTTTGTTCGATTTGGATGAAAATTTGGGACTAAAATTATGGCTGCAATATTAGAAACAAAAATATAAAAACATAAACTGCCAGTAAAAAGCTCAGAATTATAGTTTAACATAGTAAAAAATAATATTGTAGCTAAAATGAATTTTGAGTATTGAATTTTACTATTGGTCCCAAATTTTCCCAAAAATTGTATTAAATTTGTAATTTTGTAAAAAACCCAAACTATTTAATCCTATAAGTTAATGAGCCAGTAACTTAGTAGTAATTAACTGAAAAACTAAACAAATCCCTTCAATTACTAAAATGGTCCTAAAAACTACACAAAACGACCTAAATCAACTTAGGGAAATTTTTAAAGTGTTTTAAGCTAGATAAAAAAAAATAGTTAGCAAAACACTGTAATAAAAATTATCATTAATTGTAAATAATAATAATAATATAGGAAAAATATTTATACGGGGTTTTGAACATAAATCACGACACTTATACTCTGAAAAAAATAGTTTGTAAGAATTTTTATGTACATAATACTCTAAATTTATTTTGAAAAGCACTGAATGATTTTCGCACGCAATTCGAATTTGTTTTGGTCGAAATCAAGTGTAAAGACTGTCTAAATTTTTTTTGGGGATGAAAATGTGTATATTGTTTAATGTTAGTGCCATATACCAAAGGTTTTTTAATTTAAATGGACACAGGAATTTTTACATGACATACTAATGTATGGGAAAAACTTCTAGTAGCTTTGGACTTAGATTTTCTTTCATGCCATGACTTTTCTTACATTTTACCAAATAACTTTTTACCCTCAACACCTACACTAATTTCGTATTTGGACACCAAAATCTACACAAAATTGTCTTTAAACCTGCATAAACAAATATCATTTATCTCAATTTATTATCATATAAACCAGATTCAAAAAAGTCCATTCTAAAAGCACTTTAACTAGTATTATTATTCTATAAAGCAGTATGTTGTGTGTGTGAATGTTTTTTTACGTAAATTAAATATATAAATAAATATATTGAAGAGTATGAGGTGCCAATTTAATACACTTATTTAATACTAAAAACGCGTTGTATGTCCGACTGTCCGTCTGTCTGTTTTTTGTGTAGGAAGGAAATGTTGTTAGCTGATGGAAAAATTAAAAAAAAAACTCCAATATGGTTCCAAAAATGTTAAAATTTTGCACAAATATTTTTAAAAGTGTGTTTGATATGCTGAAAATTTTAAACTAATATTTTCTTATTATATATTCATTTTTGTTAATTTTCAAAATCGTCTAGTTTTTGTATACTACTAAAAATTATGGGCCGGTGCAAAAAATATGCAAGCACTTTTTGAAATATTTATATCTATTTGAACTCCAAAATTGTCAAAATTTGGGACAAATATTTTTAAAAGTATTTTTCAAATACTAAAAATGTGAAACCGTTGTGTCATCAATATTTGTTTAATTTTTTTAGTTTCTAAAATCGTCTCTTATTTGTATACGAGTTGCAAATATCACTGTATATTGCAAAAAATGTGCAAGCACTTTTTGAAATATTTTTATCTACTCTATTTTAACCCCAAAAAAGTCAAAATTTAGTACAAATGTTTTTAAAAATATGCTTTAAATACCAAAAATATAAAACCATTGTTTTATAAATATTTGTTTAATTTTTTTAGTTCCCAAAATCGTCTATTATTTGTATACTAAAAATTTGGTGCAAGTATTTTTGAAAATATTTATACATTTTAACTCCAAAATAGTCAAAACTTGGCACAAATATTTTTAAAAGTGTGTTTTAAATAATATAAGACCTTTGTTTTATCAAAATTTGTTTAATTTGTTTTAATTTTTAAAATTGTCTATTATATGTATATTAAAAATTACACGAGTCGGTGCAAAAAATATGCAAGCACTTTTTCAAATATTCATATCTACTCTATTTTAACTCCAAAATAGTCAAAATTTGGCACAAATATTTCTAAAAGTATACTTTAAATACCAAAAATATAAAACCGTTGTTTTATCAAAATTTGTTTAATTGTTTCAAGTTCTAAAATCGTCTATTTTTTGCATATTATAAATTATATGAGTCTGTGCAAGCACATTTTGAAATATTTATATCTACCCTATTTTAACTCTAAAAAAGTCAAAATTTGGCACAAATATTTTTAAAAGTATAGTTTAAATGCCAAAAATATAAAATCATCGTTTTATTAATATTTGTTTGATATTTTTAATTTCTCAAACCGTCTATATTTGTATACTAAAAATTTGGTGCAAAAAATATGCAAACACTTTTTGAAATATTTATATCTACTCTATTTTAACTCCAAAATAGTCAAAATTTGGCACAAATATTTCTAAAAGTATACTTTAAAAACCAAAAATAAAAAAAACATTTTTAAAATTGTTATTAGTCTATTTCCATCAGCTTTTAACAAATGCAAAGTTATATATATAAAAAATTGCATATATTAAATGTTTAAGGAACTTAATATTAAACATAATGATGTATTTAATGAAAATGATAAAATTAAAATTATATAATTATAATTAAGTTAGAATTAACGTTCGTACGTCTAATATGATATTATTATAAGTAAGGATATATATAAATATAAATATAAATAAATAATAATAAATGACAAAATATATGAAAATAATATATTTGTTCGGTTGGTTTTGGTAGGGTGGAAAAAATAGCGAAAAAGTCTGTAACTTGTTTAATTTAAATTTGAATTATTTGGAATTTTGACAAAATATAGCTGATAGTATATATTTTTGGGCAAAAATATGCAAAAAAATATTTTTTGATTATTTGTATTTTTTTTTTAAATCACAATATTGGATATATAATTCTGTATGCATTCAGTATCACATTGTATACTTGTTCAAAAATTTGTATCTTCTTGAATAAATTTTCAAAAAATTTGAAACTTGCACATAATATAGCTGAATGTGCATATTATCGAATAAAAATACAAAGCAAATAATTTTTGGAACAAATTTTAAATAAAACAGCTTAGACAATATGCATGAAGTTCTAATACATCACAGTCGTTTTCTTATTATAATCGCTATTTTTTTCGTTTATATCGAAAATCAATCGAATAATCGATAATTTGTAGTCGCTAAGTGTCTGCACCGTGTATACCTACATCCAATTTAATTTTTTTGTCGATATAAATCCTTAAAACGTTTAATTTTCGATTTTATTCACGCCACTATCATCGTGTACCAGTTTGTGTGTTGAAGAGAAAATTTCACTTTTCTGCAAAAATAAGTAAAAATTTCATAAAAAATAGAGGAAATTGTGATTTGTTGATTTCGTGAAATTTTTGTGAAATTATTGCATACATTTTGCATTTGCAATAATTTTTGGAGTGATTTTAATTCACGTCTGTGTAGAAATGTGTGGTTGTTGGACGATGCAAGATGTTTTGTTGGAAAACAATTAAAATTTTTGGTATTTAAAAATGAATTTAAAAATTTTAGATATTTATAGGCGTATAGACTTCATAAATAATACTATTTTTTACTAGTAAAATGTAAAATTTGGATGAAATTTATATGCAAAACTGTCGATGCAAATCGTATTTGAGGACACTTTTGTAGTATTATTTTTATAACTTTTGTTTTAACTAGCAAAGACTAACTTTTTACTAATTCAAATGAATCTACGTAAAATTTATAACAATTTTGTGAAATTTAATTTTTTTAAAAAGTTTTAGGAAAATTCTACAAGCTTTTGAAAACAACGTTTCATAATACAAACATTTGCAATATTCAAGTCGTGTTTTCTCGTAAAATTGTTAAAAATTTGTAAAAAATACATATATAATTTATTATTGCAAATTTCTTCAGCTACAATATTATTGAATTAATATTTATCATATCTACAACTTTTATAAAGATAAATAAATAAAACCGATACTGAAATTTGTTATAAATAATTACTAGAAAATTTTAGTACAAACGTAATTTTTCAAGTCGTAATTTCTCGTAAGTTTGTTAGAAATTTGAAAAAAAATTCGTTTATAATTTTTTGTTGCAAATTTCTTGAGCTACAAAAATGTTTAATATATATTTATCTTATCTATAACGGTTGTAAAGATAAATAAATAAAACCAGTAATATAGCCCTGAAATGCGTTATAAATAATTTCAAGAACATTTTAGGACAAGTGTAATTAATAATAATTTCAAGAATATTTCAAGTCGTATTTTTTCATAAAATTGTTAGAAATTTGGAAAAAATTCATATATAATGTTTTGTTGAAAATTTTGTTTGCTACAAAATTGTTTAATATATATTTATCATATCTACAACGGTTATTAAGATAAATAATAAAAACCGGTGGCAGCCCTAAATTAAATTAAGGAATTTATATAAAAATTTTATCAAAATATTTTGTATCGTCCAACAAGCCCAAATAAAAATATAAACAATAAATAAATTCCAATTGTAAAGTCAATTACCGTACAAAAATAATTGTACAATTAGTTTTATGTTTATTATTAAAATAACCAAGATTTATGTAAAATATATAAACACCAAAGATGTAAAATTAATAAATACTCATTTATATGTATATATATATATATATATATACATATAAATGAGAATTATATACTGTACCAGACTATTTTATAATTTAGTTTGTAAACCCACGAATGTTTTTTGATTTTTATAAATTGCATTTTACATGTAGTTCACTTGAATGAAAAAATACAAACAAATAAACTGTAATTATTGATATGAAAAATAATTCAATGACTTTTATTATAACATTTAATTATCTTTAATATATATATATATATATGTGTGTATATATATATGTATATATACATAAAATTGATTATGAACTTTTAGAATTTTCAGGCAAAATATGAATTTTCTATAGTTTTTTATTTTCTACAGTAGTTTCTTTAAAATTTCATGGAATTTTTTGTAGTTTTTAATATAATATCCTTTAAATTGTATTTTTAACAGGTAGTTCTTTATATTTTCAATATTCTATACAAAATTTTACTAATAACAATTTTATATTATCATATTCAAATTTTTCAAATTTGCCGCCTTGCCATTGGTTTGAATCTTCGCTATTAGTATCTAGTAGTTCGCTTACTTCACGTCGTTTGAAATGTCAAAACAACAAATGACAGCAAAATTTTTATTTAATAAAAATTGAATAAAACTTGTGATAAAATTAGTGAAATTATATATTACAATACTGTATATTATGCCTGCAAATCAAATACAATATTCGGAAAAATATATGGACGAACAATATGAATACAGGTAAATAAAAATTTAAACTAACCTCAAAAATGTAATTGAAATAAGTAATTGATACAGATTTTGTTGGATAAAATGCATACAAGTAGTTAAATATTGTTTAAATATATATCACGTTTAATGTGGATGAGTTTTTAAGTATGTTTTTTATTGTCAAAGTATTTGTGGCACATTTGATAAAACTAACCTTAAATATCAATGTTTTGTATAGCTCTTTACAAATAATGGGTAATTTTTGCCTTAAAGCCTCTAATAATATAAACTATATTGCATAGATATGACTATAATCAATAAGTATGCTATTCATTGCTCAAAGCTATTGATCGTGTTATCGGCAATACTTTTTTTGTTTGTATGATAAAATTGCACATGTATATATATATATATATATATATATATATATATATATGTATTTATCATGTGTCTTTTACCCCAGACATGTGATCCTACCAAAAGATCTAGTCCGTCACGTGCCCAAGACTCATCTAATGTCCGAGACCGAATGGAGAAACCTGGGAGTTCAACAAAGTCCAGGCTGGGTTCACTATATGATGCACAATCCTGAACCCCACGTCCTACTTTTCAGAAGACCCAAACCCGATGAGAATAATGCTGGTGAAGTTTTGCTGGCATATTAATTATTATGAATAATGTGATGAGACAAGTGATTGTACTAAGAATTTTTTTAGTATGTGGGAAGGAGGTTATAAGCAATGTTAATATATATGAATAGATATTTATTTTGATGTGTAGATTTTGTATTTAAAGAAGTGATTAAAGTATTTTGATTTATTATGTTAGTTTTTCTATAATGATAAAAAAAATACTCAATGAAAGGAAAAATTCAAAACAAGGAATAGGATGAATAAAAAAACGAAATTACAGCTGTGCAGTAAATACAATGAATGAGAAATAACAACAACAAATAAATAACAATAATAATAAATAATAATAATAATAAATGAACAACATATGAATGAGAAATTAAACAATGAGTAAGAACAATAATACAATAAATATACAATTTGAAAATTATATTAAGAATAAAAATTATACAATGAATAATAAAATATACAATACAGAAATAAATAATGCATTAAAAATATACACTGCATAAATAAATATACACATTCATATTTCAATATAAAACAATATAAATAAACGTTAATTATTATTTAAAATTGATTATTTTCTCGGCCAATGTAAATACCACTTATTTCTCAAGTTCGATAATAAAGAAAGAAAGAAAGAAATTATGTTGAATTTTTATAAATTTATATCAAACTGAGTTAAATACTGTTTCTTTATATATATTGAATAATATATTTGAAGATATATTCAAGGAAAAAATACAATAAATGATATAATTTGAGAAAATAAAACATATACAATAAATAAAAAAAAATCAATGAATAAAATTGCACAAAAATACAAGCAATAACAAAAAATATATACAATAAATAAAAAATTATGTTTAAAAAAATATGAATAATTTAAAATATATATATTTAACTACAAAACTAATATACTTTATTTTCGAAATAAACAGTTGAGATTTTATTTAAATTCTGAATTATTAATTATTAAATTTTTATTAATATTAAATTTACCAAAACATTTTTGTACATTTCTTATATTATTGTCTATACTTATTTCAAAAATTACTAAAATAAAATATCCAAAAATAAAATGATGCAGTTTTTAGAATTCTTTTAGAGTATTAAATTATCTAAAATAAATTAATTTGCATTTAAAATAAAATTAAAAGCATAAGTAAATCTCCATAAAATAATATATGTGAGTACATGTTTTTACATTTTGGTGTATATTTCAAAAATTACTCAAAATATTCAAATGCCGTCTTTAGAAATCTTTTAGATTATTAAATTATCTAAAACTTTTCTTTATATAACAATCTTGTATAATAAATTTATTTGATTTTAAAATAAAAGTAAAGCAAATTAAAAGCACAAGTAAAAATATCCATGTGAGTACAATTTTTTTTACAATTTGGTGTATATTTCAAAAACTACTCGAAAATTTTCGAAAGCAATCTTTAAGAATCCTTTAGAATATTAAATTATCTAAAACTTTTCTATATATAGTAATATCGTAAAAAAAAATATTTGCTTTTAAAATAAAAGTAAAAGCAAATTATAAGCACAAGTAAAATTATCCATGTGAGTATAATTTTTTACATTTTTATTTATATATAAAAAACTATTCAAAATATTCAAATTCAGTCTTTAAAAATAATTTAGAGTATTAAATTATCTAAATATTTGTAAAATAATGGGCAAAAAATAAATAAAGTAAGTATTTGCATATAAAAAAATATTTTATATAAAATTTTAATATAATTAAACATTATATATATATATATATATATATATATATATATATATACAAAAAATCAGTGTACAACAATGTTATCAGAAATAGATTAAAGAGAGCTTATCAGCATCTTAATTAAACATGCTTTTGTATTTATCAAGATTTAATTATTATTAGTCCTATGTTAATATGTATATTCCCCAACATCCATTATGAAAATCTAATAAATGAAAAATGTATTTTATTAGTTGACCATTATTAAAATAAAGTTGTCTTTGTTTGTTTAGGTAAGTCCACCATTGGACTCTTATCAGAGTAACACAACTCTACAAATATAATAAATTATAGGAATATTTCTATTAAATATACATAGTGGAATTAATTAATTATATTGTTAATATGTTGTGGACAAGATGATTATAAGTTTTAGTGTTAAATTAATATTAAAACAGTGCGGATGAAATTTGCAAATTTTGAGGTTAGGTTTGTACATCAGCTGTTAAGTGTCAAAAATTATTTTTATTTTAGGTTTAAAAGAATTTTGCCGTGACCTAGATAATAAAATATATATTTAAAATTGTTTGTAGCACTCAAATAATACAGAAAAATGCTTATTTTATATATATAACGGGTATTTTACTTAATACAGGAATTTTTGTATCTGGTATGAGATTTTTTTACATTTTTTTTTCAGATTGTATGAAGTATTTAAGAAGTTTTGATGTCCAAACAAGATGAAATTTGCAGAACATTTGTCAGCACATATTACTCCAGAATGGAGGAAACAATATATAAATTACGAGGTAAGATAATTTTGTACCTAGATAGTTCTACGATGGATTTTAATTTGTACCTAGCTTTACTGACCGTTGAAAGAAGAGTATTGAATTACTATTTGTTATTAAAATCTAAATGCTGTCTGTAAGAGATCTAATAGTTTTTTATTTTTGTGCTTTATATTTTTGTACGATAGTCTTAAAGGCATTCGTTGGAATTTAATTAGTACCTAGCTTTACTGACCGTTGAAAGAAGAGTATTGAATTACTATTTGTTATTGAAACCTTCATGTAGTCTAAATGCTGTCTTTAAGAGATCCAATAGTTTATTTTTTTGCTTTATATTTTTGTATATCGATAGTCTTAAAGGCATTCAATGGAATTTAATTAGTACCTAGCTTTACTGACCAGGTGAATTCATATTTTATAGACAAAGTATAAGAGCTTATAAATTGTACAATATTTATATTTATTATGTAAAGTTAAAATGAAGGACTTTAGCTCATATTTCGAAAAATTCGTGTTTTGTTTCAGGAAATGAAAGCAATGTTATATACTGCTGTAGAGGAGGCTCCTGCAGCAGATTCCGTAGAACCAGAAGTGTTGGCTAGACATTTTGCACATTTCGATGAACAGTTTTTCCACTATTGTGATAATGAACTTAAGAAAATTAATACTTTTTACTCAGGTATATGATAATGATAATATATATATATATATATATATATATATATATAAGAAATAAATTTATTTTTTTATTTGCAGAAAAACTTGCCGAAGCCACCAGGAAATTTGCTGCTTTGCACACAGAGTTAAAAGCATCTTTAAGAGTGAGTTTTTTTCTATAATATTTATATATATATATATATATGTGTATATTAATTAATATATATATGTCAATTACATTTTTTCCAGATGGGTAGCAATAAAAGCAAGCGAGAAACAGCAAAAAAGGCCCTCTTGCCATACCGCAAAGTCCAGGAATTAAAATTGGCTTTTAGTGAATTCTATTTATCTTTAATATTACTCCAGAATTATCAGAATTTAAATCATACGGGTTTCAGGAAAATACTCAAAAAACATGATAAGGTGATAAAAAAATAGTTATAGTAAATATAAATCATGCAGCTTTTTGTATTGTAAGTATTTTTATTTATTTTTTTTTTCAGCTTTTATCTGTTGAAATTGGTGCCAAATGGCGAAAGGAGCAAGTCGAGACTTCACATTTTTTTACAAATAAAGACATTGATAAACTTATTAATGAAACTGAAAGTGCTGTGACTAATGATTTAGAAGGTAATAATTTATTTACTTAAATATTCAATATTAATTGTGACAAAAATCGAAAATGAAAATTTTTGCATAACTTTACGTTTCAAAGAGTTCTGAACATTTTGGCATACCTTAAAAAAAATGGATGTATGTGCGTGTGTGCGTGTGTGTATGTATGTGCGGATACAATTTTTCGTTGACGATTTCGGGAACACGGATCAACCGATGTGAATCGTTCAAAAAACATTCGATTTTTATTGTTAGGGAGATGTGCTCATTAGTTTTTGGCAAGGGCAGGTCCAGCCGTTACGGAGATACGGAGCAAAAAGTGCAGAAAATAGAAATCTAGTTTTTTAAAGAACGGAGCGTCCGATTTGAATGATTCGAAAAACATTTTATTTGTATTTTTGGGAAGGCAGGTCTAGCGGTTTTGGAGTTTCAATAAAAAAGTGAAAAAATGCGGATAAAAATGATCATTAGACATGTGCACATCAAACTATCAGATATTTTATAGAGATTTTAATAATGTGTACACATTTTGTGTCATTTTTTTGGGTTCCGTACCAAGATTTTTTAATTGGTTCAAACAAATGTTCTCGACATTTTTGACAATATGCCCCGATATAAAAATTTAGAATAAAACGACTTTGAATTCGATCTTTCATATTCTTTAAAAATAAATAGAAAATTCAGGACATTTTTTTGGTTTTTGTCAGATAACTCAAAAATATCATATGAAAGCACCCTTTTTCAGATAGATAGGGTCAAACTAGATAAAATTTACTACGATTTCATGCCAACAGTTGTATACACCCCGATATGAAATTTTTTGAATAAAACGACTTTGAATTTGATGTTTCCTAAGATGTATGTATAATAAGCTCGTTGCCAAATGTAATAAGCAAATATAAATTTTTAATGAATAATTTATTTGAAATTATTTAAAACAGTTATTGACTATTTTCATTCCTCGAATGCTTAATCACAGTATGGGTAGTTTCAACAAATTGCTTTAAGCCACGATGCCATACACCACTAGATTTTTGTTTTTGAGCATCGGATTTTAATTTTAATTCTGGCTAAAGTTCTAAAGCTCACTTATATACTTTAAATGAATAATTTTAACTTTACAATTCGGTTTATATAATTCTTATAAATATTAGACAATGCTATAGTATTCATAATAATCTATTTGAAAATATTCCTCGAACATTTCGTTACGGTACGGAAAGTTCCAGCAATTTTCCTTAAGCCACTAGTTTTTTTTTTTTTTTGTTATAGGTGGTGATCGCCAAAGGGCGATGAAAAGGCTGAGAGTACCTCCCTTAGGCGAACAACAAAGTCCCTGGACAACTTTTAAAGTCGGACTATTTTCCGGAAGCTTTATTGTCTTAGTAATAACAGTCATACTCTCCGGTAAGTTAAAGGGCACAACTAGTGTGAAATTTTCAAAAAATCGAATTTTCAATTTTTCCATATTTCGATAGGTTATACCTTTAACCCTCCGTCGGTCGGCGTGGTCTAGCCAGACTTTTTTCGGCTTCAATTAAAAAAAAAAAGAATACTTCTAATAATCCTATCGATTTGAAATTTCTTGACTTTTCCTAAAATTTCATTAGCTGTCGATCAATGAAAAAATCAGGACGAAAAAATGCACAGAAGGATAATTATAAGGATATTAACTCTATTATACTTTGAACGGTCGGAAAGGTCTGTCTAGACCACCCATACATTTTGTATGAAATATAGGCTTTTTGATATATGTAAACCAGTCTTTTGTCTTTTTTCATGGTATTTTCTATTCAAACTGCGTTGTATATATTCTTTGCTTTGTGTTGTAACATGAATGTTAGTATTTTCATGACGAGAGTTCTTTGAAAACCTACCAAACTTATTGGTAATCGCAAACACTGAAAATCGGATGAGTAATGCACACATTATCAACAATTTTTCTACCCGTACTGCGTTCGAAATTTTTTTTTTGGAAACCTGCAGTGAAATTATATTTTCACTTTGACTCTTTTACAGCTCATTTCAAATGCGACGCACCTCATTTCGTTTTCATGTGAATTTCACATTTATTTCAAAAGAATAAATATTGTTTTTCATTGATATAAATCAGAAAAATTAACAAAAAAGCAACGATTTTTTTATATTTCTTGATTTTTTTATATAATATAATATGTAATATTTTTATTTCAAGCAAGTACAACACATGCAAAAGACGGTAAGAAAAAGAAAAAATCAAAACTTTAAATATTTACTACTAATAATCGTTAATATATAAGTCACCAAAAACTCATTTATCCCATATAAATGCATGTAAAATGAATGGTGGTCCAGCCAGACCTTTTCGACCGTTTGAAGGTGAAAAAATATCCGACCGACGGAGGGTTAAAAGTAAAATACCAAAATTGTAAATCGATATCTTAAATAGTTTTTGAGTCACAGCCATTTAAATAGTGTATATATAGTATACAGTATAGCGCTCATTTTGTATTTAAACGCATTTTTCTCGAAACAGCATTTTCCGAATTTGCTGCAGCAATTACACAAAAACAAATGATCCGATCACTATCGAATTATTTTTACATGTCATATATATAGTTCTCCGTAAAATGAACTATCGATTTTTTGATCGGATCAAAAATCGAATTTTGGCAGTCCAAAAACGACCAAAATTTTGGGTAAAATTTGACTTTTTTAAAAAAATACCGTCATTTTGTCAATTTTTTATTAACTTCCCGTAGGGTAAGTTATTGTAATGGGCCGAAAATCGGAATTGAAAATTTTTACATTTCTCGACGTTTTGAAGGTTTCTGAACGTTTTGGCATACCTCAGAAAAAATGGATGTGTGTGTGTGTGTGTGTGTGTGTGTATGTATGTATGGATACAAATTTTCGTCCACGTTTTCGGGCGTACGGATCAACCGATTTGAATGGTTCAAAAAACATTCGATTCCTATTGATAGGGAAAAGAGCTGATTAGTTTTTGGCAAAGGCAGGTCCAGCCGTTTCGAAGATACGGAGCAAAGATTGCAGAAAATAGAAATCGAATTTTTGAGAGAACGGAGTATCCGATTTGAATGATCTAAAAAACATTCAATTAGTAATGATTGGGAGAAGTGGTATTAGCTTTTGGCAAAGGCAGGCCCGGCCATTTCGAAGATACAGAGCTAAATGTGCAAAAAATGGCAGTTTTTGAGGGAACTAAGCGTCCGATTTAAATGATTCAAAGAACTTTCTGCTTGTCTTAACAAAATAATTGATTTTGGAAAAAAAAAAATTTGTTCCATTTTTTTTTTTTTTTTGTATATCGAAATATTTCAGATTTTATTTTTAATTCTGACTATAAGTTCTAATATACTTTACAAATAATTTCAATTCTGCAATTCAGTTTATATAATTCTTATAAATATTAGACAATGTTACAATATTTATAATAATCTATTTGAAAACATTCAGTATTCCACGAACATTTCGTTACGGTACGGGAAGTTCCAGCAATTTGCCTTAAGGCACGATGCCATAATTGCCTCAAGACAGAATTCCACTTACAGCTAGTTTTTTTTCTTTATCGTAGTTCATCTTTTAGACAATATTATCTAAATTAACGAAAATTTTTTTTTTAAATTTCATCCACGTAGAGAAGGCCGGAATCACTGCAGCAGTGAAGGGTCTTTTTTGTCGCGCCGTTGGAGATCGACTATAACTTAAAAAATATTAAATTTTTTGCTTCAAAAAATTTTACTATGTATTCTTAAAACATGTATAAATACATTCCTAAAATTTTGTAATGATTGATAAAGTATTTTTTTTAATATCAATTTCCAAAAATCACCTTTTTTAGGCGGTTACACTAGTTGTGCCCTTAAAGGACACATTTTAAATATCCTTTTACCAACTATTCTTTATCCTTAGCAATTTTTCGAGACACAACAACCGAAAGTCTCCTGATAGCATTCAGACTCTACAGAGGTCCTCTTCTGATAATCGAGTTTATTTTTCTTCTCGGAGTCAACGTTTACGGTTGGCGTTCATCAGGAGTGAACCATGTCTTGATTTTCGAGCTGGACCAAGAAATCATCTATCTGAGCAGCATTTGATAGAATTGGCAGCAATTTTTGGGGTCGTCTGGACCTTAAGTATACTTAGTTTTATTTATAGTGCCAGTCTGAGCATTCCTCCGTATGTCAACCCTTTGGCGTTGACTGCGATCATGGTTGTGTTCCTGGTGAACCCTTTCAAGGTCTTCAGACACGAGGCTAGGTTCTGGTTGCTGAAAATCTGTGTAAGTGGGTAAAAGATAGTTATAGATGATACTTGTACTTTATGGGGTTTTATACATATTTTTTTTCCAGGGCCGCATGATAGCAGCACCGTTTTTTGCAGTGGCGTTCGCTGATTTCTGGCTCGCCGATCAATTGAATTCACTTGTGGGTTCCATGCTGGATTTTCATTTTTTAGCTTGTTTTTATATCACTAATGGAAATTGGCTTCAAGCAGCCGGAGGTAAGATAAAGTTATTTATATATATATATATATATATATATATAATATATATATATATAGCTGACCCGGCAAGTTGTTTTTGCCATGGAATATTTTCAAGTATAAAAATTTAAGTACGAAAATAACTGATTTGCGAATGTATTACGTAAGTGATCACAGAATGACAAAAAATATAATAGGAATATTACCCACTGCAAAGCATTACATATAATATATGTTATTATAATCTGGAACTTTTTATTATATTTATACTAGCTGACCCGGCAAACATTGTTTTGCCATAAAAAATATTTTTAGTAAAAATATTTAATACGAAATTGCATAATGTGACGCAAAATGAAAGGAACGGCTAACAAAAAATATATGAATGGTTTACCCACTGCAAAGCATGCCACATATAAATGTCCCTTAATAGTCTTTGCAAGGTGGCACATTTCTAATATCAAGATTTTGATATATTATTACCGTATTTTTTATTGAGTGAGATAGAAAAAAAGGAGAGAGTGAAAATTTTACAGCTTTGCCATAAATTTGTATGGTAAACTAAAACTATTGTAGATTTAAATTTTAATATTTTTAATGTTTTTTTATTAGAAAATATACAGTTTGTGCGCATCGGGAAATGTTTGTTTAATGGGTAAATGGGAGAAAAAAATGAAAAAAATAGTTTTTCTAAATAAAAAGTGTTCTATGTATTTTTCCATTTCGAGTTATAGAAATTTAAAATATAGTAAATAGGCTCAAAAGTGAAAAAAATTTAGGGATGGACAACATTTGATAAAAATAATTATATTTTTTAAAGTAAATAAAATAAATAAAAAAAAATAAATAAAATGTGACTCCAAAATTTAAAAAGGCTGGACAACTCTTAATAAAAATAAATTGTTTTTTAACTTTTTGTAGGGCAAGTTATAGTAAAGGGCCGAAAATCAAAAATGAAGATTTTTGCATTTCTCGACATTTTGAAGGATTCTGAACATTTTGGCATATCTTAGAAAAAATTGATGTGTTTTGTTAGTCCGTAATTTTTTGTCGACGATTTTGGGCGCACGGATCAACCGATTTGAATGGTTCAAAAAACATTCGATTCCTATTAATAATGAGATGTGCTGATTAGTTTTTGGCAAAGGCAGGGCCAGCCGTTACGGAGATACGCAGCAAAGAGTGCAGAAAATAGAAATCGAGTTTTTGAGAGAACGGAGCGTACGATTGGAATAAATCAAAAAACATTTTATTTGTATCAATTTTTTGGGGTTCCGTACCAAGATTTTTAATTTTTATCTTCATTTATATGGTTCAAACGAATAACCTCGACATTTTCGATTCGTAGGATTAAAAAAATATTCGGTTTGTACTCGTTTTTGCGAAAGGCATGTCCAGCCGTTACGGAGAAATCGAGCGCAAAGAGTGTAAAAATGGTCAAAGTTTTTGAGAGAGCGGATCATCCGATTGGATTAATTCAAAAAACCTTCTGCTTGCGTAGACGGTGTGCAAAAAATGTTTTTATAAAATTTCATAATTTTGAAGATTTTCAAAAAACAAAAT